GGGGGGGAGTGGAGGGCGCGCGACGGCTAGAGCACAACACGAGCGTAGCAGTGGGCTTGGCAGTGGAAACGTCTCGGGACGCGCCTGGATCCCGTTGCCCCACGAGGTGAAGCGGAAGCCATACAGCTCCTATCGGAGGTGTCTCGGAAGTGTCTTGGAGGTGTCTCGGAAGTGTCTCGGAAGCCATACAGCTCCTAGGCGCCGCGCGCGGAAGCGTGGCGTCAGAGGAGGCGGCCGAGCTGCGGAGGCGGCGTTAGGACGCCCGTGCCGTGCAGGCGTCGCGTCTCTCGGAAGTGTCTCGGAGGTGTGTCTGAGAGTATGTGTCTCGGAAGCGTGTCGGAGGTGTGTCGGAGGTGTCTCGGAGGTGTGTCTGAGAGTATGTGTCTCGGAAGTGTGTCGGAGGTGTGTCGGAGGTGTGTCGGAGGTGTGTCTGAGAGTATGTGTCTCGAAAGTGTGTCGGAGGTGTCTCGGAGGTGTCTCGGAGGTGTGCACCTGCCCCTTGCCCTCCCCGCCCGGGCTGCCAATCAGATCCTCGTCGATCTGCCACAAGCCTACCGCCGAGGGGGAGGGGGAGATCGAGCCGAGATGGGGCCCAGATCGGGTGCTCTTCGCTCCGCGGCGCGCCGTCGATCCGCCCCTCCCCGCCCTTGTACCGCGCGCTCCCTAGCGGAGAAGCGACGCGCGTCACGGGCGCGCGCCAGACGCCACCCGCTTGCCGCTGCGCGCTGCCTGGGTTGCGCAGCGCGAATGTGACCGAAGCGTTCTTGCGCGCCGCCGACGGGTCCGCGTCCGCGAGCAGCGACCAGAACTGCACGTCCGCCGCCGCCGCGGCGAGCGGGATGGTGGCGTCGCAGTGCGCTGCGTCGCCGGTGCCCGTGACGTACGTGTCTGGGGCCTGCGGCGGTGAGGCGGGTGGGGAGGCGGGGTGCACTCGCCGGCGACGGACTGAGACGGCGCAGGGCGTCGGTGGCAGAGGCGGCGAGAGGGCGGGAGGGAGAGGGCCGGCAAGGCCCCGCGGGCTCGGTGGGGGCGGTGACGGCGGCGGCGAGGGAGGCGGCAGGCTCGGAGGCGGCGGTGAGGGCGGCGGCGGCGAGGGCGGCGGCGGCGATTGGGAGGCAGCGACGGCGGCATGCGGCGGCAGAGGCGGCGAGAGGGCGGGAGGGAGAGGGCCGGCAAGGCCCCGCCAACGAGATCGGTCCCGAGGGCGGCAAGGCGATCGCAGAGGCGCTGCGCGGCAACGGGGTGCTGACCAACCTCTCGCTCTATGGAAACGGCATTGGCGAAGAGGGTGCCAAGGCGCTGGCCTCCGCTCTGCGCGTCAACGCGGTTCTGGCCAAGCTGAATCTCGACGGCCGCGAGCCCCGCAGCCCTTTCGGCGAGCGGTGAGTGGCGGCCGTGTGGAAGCTTCTCGGAAGTGGCACGCGCCTGCTTGGAGTGCCCCCACATCGAGCGCACAAAAGTGGCGGCGGACTCGGCGTCCGCGCTGGAGTTGAGCGCGCGCGAGAGAGAGAAGACCTGCAGGGGAGATGGGGGGAGATAGGGGGAGATAGGGGGAGATATGGCGGCGACGAGCAGCGTGGCGAAGACGTCGATATTGTGCTCGGTCGAGCGGTAGTTGTGCGGGTAGGGAGGGCCTGAGAGCGGGGTGAGAGACGCTTCAGCGGCGAGCAGTCGAGACGTCCCTGCACAAGCACACGGTGGTACCGCGCGCGGCGAATCCGCCCATCTCGTCGTCGGCGCAAGAGACGTCGTGCCGGAGGGCCTGTGCGGGTCCGAGGAGGGCCCGGCTGGACAAGGACGCCGCGTCGAGCCAGGGGCCACGGAGCCGGGATAGGCGAGGCGAGTGGGGGTGGCCATGGCGACTCCGAGCTGGCGTGGCGGTTGGAGACGGAATCTCCCCGTATCTCCCCATATCTCCTCATATCTCCTCATATCCCGATTCTCGCCCTCTAGCAGCCGCCTCGAGGATGTCCCTCGCGACGCGGGCATAGCAGGCCTAAGGGAAGGGAAGGTCAGGTACACTTCTCCACACACACGAGGTGGCGGGGCAAGGGGCCAGGCTAGTCCCTCGCGTCTCCACGTCTAGACGACAGGAGCCCCACGGCATTCAAAGTGCAAGGCCCAGTGCGCGTGGGTGAGCGGTGGGTGGATGGGTGGGGGTGTGGGGGTGTGACTGGTGTGTGTGTGTGTGTGTGCGTGCGTGCGTGCGTGCGTGCGTGCGTGCGTGCGTGCGTGCGTGCGTGCGTGCGTGCGTGCGTGCGTGCGTGCGTGCGTGCGTGCGTGCGTGCGTGCGTGCGTGCGTGCGTGCGTGCGTGCGTGCGTGCGTGCGTGCGTGCGTGCGTGCGTGCGTGCGTGCGTGTGTGTGTGTGTGTGTGTGTGTGTGTGAGTGTGTGTGTGTGTGTGTGTGTGTGTGTAGCACGCCTCGCCGGTCTCCGCCGCGAAGTGCGTGAAGGCGAGCCCGACCCACGCATTGTTGCCTAGAGAGGGTCGCATGTGCCGGGACTTGTCGGCGAGTGCCTCGACGCGGGAGCGCGCCGCTCGATCTCTCGCCCGTGTCGACGGCGCCGTCGGCAACGCCCACCCCTTGGTAGTCGCCCGCCTTCGCGGGCGCGTCGGTGTACGAGGCGGCGAGGAGCTTGAGGCCGCCTGTGGGACGTGTCCAGGGACGTGTCGCGGACCAGCCCTCCGGTGTATGGGGCGAGTGTACAGGGCGAGGAGTCGCGCGCGCCCTTGTCGTCGTACAAAAAGTACAAGAACGACTTTAGCACGGAGCGCGCCTCCTCCAGCCGCCCGCGGCGGGTGAGGTAGATTGCCTGCGGGCATCGCGCCACGCGAGGGGCGTCAGCCACGGCTCTGCTCAGCCACAGTTCTGCTCAGCCACAGTTCTGCTCAGCCATGGTTCTGCTCAGCTACGGCTCTGCTCCCGGGGTTGCACCACCGCAGGGCCAGGGTGCGTGGCTGGACGCGGCATCCGCCCGCCGCTCGCTGCGATGCTAAAAATGCGCTGTGCCCGTGCAAGGCGGCGCGAACTGCGTAGGCTGCGCTGTGGAGGGCAGCACAGCGGCAGTGCGGGCAGGCGCGCACCGCGAGTGCATTGTCGTACACGTCAAACCGGCAGTGCGGCGTCTGCTCGTAGTTGGGGCACGGCTCGACGAGCTTGCACATCTTGTCGCCACACGGCCCGCCGTCGAACGAGTCCGGCCCGAACGTCTGCATCAGCCCAACGCCCTTCCCGCCCATGAAGGACTGCCGCGGCTGCCGCTCGAGAAACGCGTCGACGATGCTGAGGCACGTCTCGCGATCGCTGCATACCCCGTCCTTGCCCGGCGCGGTGACGTCAGGCTTGGACGTGCCTGCTGCCGGAGGGCCGGCCGGCAGCGCGCCGTGCCCCGCAGCCAGCCACAGGCTACCGCACAAAGCAGCGAGCGCGACGCCGAGCAGAGCGGCGCCGCGCGCCGATACGCGGCGGCCGCAGACGCGGAGCCCGGACGACTCCAAGAGCAGTTCACCCTGAGAGGTCTGCATCGGACGCGGACGTGGATTGAGAGGCCGCGTCAGGTCCTGCATCACGTGCACGGCGGAGATGCCGACCCGAGCGAAGTGCGCTTCTGCGGCGAGACTTTTTTCGGCTTGTTGATTTCTTTTGAGCTTAGCCTTCGATGAAACAACGCAAGGCGGACATGGCATATCGCTCTCGGGCCCACAGACATCCCGCACACTCGCCGCACACCCGCCGCCCCCGCGCGCGCCCCGCCCCGGCCGGGAGAAAGGGGAATGACAGTTTGGGACGGCAACAGAACGAGTATGTTGAGTCCTGGCTCAACAACGCAGGGTAAATGTAAGCCGGATGGCTCACAGGCCACCTCTCGCGCCCCGACTAACCGATCTACCGCACTGGCCACTTCCGCCCCCTTGCTCCCAACCCATCCACCACGATGGCGCACGCGGCGACGGCTACTCTTATCTGCTCTTTGCGGTGTGCAGGCGGTGTGACGCGCGGGCGTGTCTTCTGCCTAGGTGCCTTGGCCCTTGCTGTTTACGAGCGTCCGTGTCTTCTGCCTTGCCGTTTACGTGCGCTCGGTGTGCTTCTCTTTAGATAGGAAGCGTGCGCCGTGGTGGCAATGTCGTCTGTGTACGCAGAGCAGGTCGGTCCGACTGACCACCGTCGTCATCTGCTCCTCGGCACCGTGAGGGCCACGGTGGTAGTTGGTGCGTCTCCACGGCTCCTTGGCATTGCTCTTGTTGAGGAGCTCGCCGTACGCGTCGTTGTAGTAGAGCAGGCTCCCTCGCCCGGTCGTCCAGTCGGCAAGGTGCGCACCGGCAGCGTGGAACTTAATGGAGTCCTCAAAGTGCTCCTTGCCAAAGAGGGAGATGGCCAGGTCCTGCCACTGCTCGTTCAAATCTGAAGCGTATCGCAGGCTCCCGTCAGTGTGAGCTCTGCGGTACATGAGCTCCAACCACTCAAAGTAGACGGTGAAGAGCTCGAGCAGCTGGGGGCAGCCGGGGGAGATGTCGACGAGGAGCAGTCGCCAGAAGCGGAGGATGTCTCTCAGCGTGTCGGCAGAGGCAATCTGGCCGAACTTGACAGTTCCCTCCCATGGGTCGAGTGGATTGATGTAGGCTCCGTACAGGTAATGCGAGATGCCTCGCGAAAATGCGCATTTGGTCATGTGCAGCGGGACGACGCGCGCCGTGATCCAGGCATCGATCTGCTTGCCCAACGCCTTGAAGTCACGGGAGGAGAGGCTGCTCTGCATCAGCTGGAAGGTGCACTCCATCAGCTTCTGGCCAGTGCCGTGCTCGCAAAAGTGCATCAGCGGGATGGCCGTGCCCTGGAAGACGTCCAGGCCCACCACCTCAAAGGCCGGGTTGGGATCAGGGTGGAGCCCGAGAGGCCGGGTGTGGTCCGCGCGCGCTGCCGCCGAGTGCGGGTGGAGAGCCCATGCCCGACCGATGTGCGCACGCTGGGTGGCGTTGCTCCGCAGGTCAAAGCTCTCGTGTGACCAGAACCCCGGCCCCTTCCTGGCGTAGCACATCCAGCACGCCTGGTTCTGCAGCGTCTGCGTCACCTGCGCAATCTTTGGGTAGTCGAGCGACAGCCCGAGCACCACGGGGTAGATGCGCTCAGCCTGGCCGTGCGCGCCAACAGCGGTGGTACCAACCAGGGAGATCATGCTCCTGTCTCGCATGCCACTGAACAAGTGTCGCATCTGCGCGCGAAACAGCAGCTTGCGCACAGTTGTCTTGCGCGCGTCAGACACCTCAAGCATGGCTCGGTCAGGCACCTTGGACAGGTACGAGAGGAGCATTCCATTGGAAGGCTGCCGGGCTTGCTCCAGTGGAAGAGCCAGGCTGGTGACGGACACGGGGCAAGCCGAGCGCTCGCCGTTCTTGGTGAGATTTGTATCGTCCCAGTACAGCTTGAGCGCAAAAGCGATGGCCGAGGGGTCCCGAGCCTGGATGGCGCCACAGAGCTCGAGCAGCACATCGCCCGAGTAGGGATCCGCGTAGACGCGGTCACCACTGCTGCGCTCGACGAGCCGCCGTGGGCGACAGTGCTCCGGCGTCACAAAGCGGAAGAGGAAGCGGGCCATCGCATCCAGCTTCCGATAGTGCATCACGACAGCGACCGGCGGCTCACCTGGCGTCAGCTCCACCTCGATGGTGACTGTGTGAAATCGAAGCCCGAGTTTGTCGAGCAAGCCATCCACCACCGCTCGCATCGGCGACAGTCCACGCCGTGCATCAATCAGCAGCGGTTGGAGCGACCCGACCGTGTCCTCCTGCTCGCGAGCGATGGCCGAGGGCGCGTCATGGTTGGAAGTGCCGATGATCTCCTGGTGTGCATACCACCGGAACGTGCGCATATTGCCAAAGAGTGCGCCCAGCTGGATGTCAGCAAAGTACGGCGGCGGCAGAGGCGGACGCGGCGACACTCGCGGCTCGCCTGGCTTCCGCCGAGCTTCTCGGCGCTCGTGCTCACGCTGCGGCTGCTCCGCCTGCTGATCTGCGACGCGATGCGCGTCGCGATCGAGTACCGCGTGTGCTGCTGCGTCGAGGTCGCCAGGGTGTGCGTCGCGGATGTGCCACGAGAGCTGTGTGTAGCTACGGCAGACGCGGCCACAGTCGGAGCACACGAAACGCGCCAGTTCTTCGGTTGTTGCGCGCTCGACCAGCTTCGCTGAGACAGAAAGAATTTCGTGCTTTTCTTTGTTATTGCGAGGGAAGACGCATATTCCAAACCTGCAAACCACCTCGAGCGAGTTTATCGTTCCTCAGGGCAGCTCCATTCCTCCATTCACCGCGCGCTAAGGCCGTTTTTTCTCTTTCTCTCTCATGGATGAATGGCGTCTTGGTGTGCACGTTGTGTGCAGTGGCTAAGAGAAATTAGTTTATACACGACATGCTGCTGCCCCAAGCTGGCACCACCCAGAAAAGCATGTCTTGAAATGCGTCTGCAGCCTGCAAGCAGCCGTATTCTCTGTTTCTCTCTCTCTCTCTCTCTCTCTCTTGAAGAATGTCGCCGGCTTTTTCAGCAAACTACTTCCCTTTACACCGAACACAAGAACACAACACCTAGACCGCGCGATTCGCGCATTCGAGGCGGGAGCGGCAAAGGAATCTTCGGTTCGCGCTCGAAATTCACGGACCATGATCCCACGGTCGCTTCTTCAACCGTCTCTCAGACTTCAACATGCCTCAGAAGCGCCAGCGCCGCCGCGCTCCCGGTGTCAACACGACCCCCGTGACCGACCAAGCTGGCAAGACAGAGGCCAAGACGCTCCAAGACCTCCACCCGGAGCCGACTGCCGAGGCGCGCGCCTGCTTCGCAGCGACCGCCACGCCAGCGCTGCGCTCTTGAACGCTTCTTCGGTGCCCCACACAGGCTGACGCGCGCAGCGAGAGCGACTACTCGGACACGTCGTACGCGCCATCCGAGTCGGGCTCGGCCGACGGCCTCGGCGGCGACATCCTCTCCTCCGTCGAGGGCTCTGAGTACGGCGTCTCTGACCCCGAGCTCGAGGAAGACGAGTACGAGAAGGCTGCGCGGGCCGAGGACTCCAACGGCGCGGACGACCCCAACCGCGAGTTCAACCAGGCGCTGCTCACGCAGGCGATCACCTCCCTGCCCAACAACATCGCGACCGCCCTCGTCTCACAGCTCATCCCGGCGCTGGGCGGCGCCGCCGCCGCCGCTGCCGGCCCGGCCGGTGGCGGTGGCGGCGGTGGCGGCGGTGGCGGCGGTGGCGCTGCCGCGGCGGGCGCCTCCCCGTACTGGCAGCCTACTCCCGACCGGCGGACGTTTGGCGGCAAGCGCCACGTCGTCGTGCGCGCCATCAAGGTGTCGCCGAGATTGCCCGAGATTGCCCAAAATTTGCCTGAGATCGATCGAGATCGCCCGAGATCGCTCCATACAAACGCCTGAGGCGCCATGTCATTGTGCGCCCCATCCAGGCGTACATCCTCGCCCACCTCGACGAGACCGTTGCTGGGCTCTCCCTCGACGACATCCTGCCGGGGGTCATCGCTGCGCTGCCGCTGCCCGACAACACCGGGTCCAAGGTGCTGCTCAAGACACAGTTCAAGCAGAACCTCCGTGCGACGCTGCGCGAGGCGGAGTCGGAGCTCAACACCGACCTCCGCAACCAGTTGCTCCTCATCTACTCGGGCATCATCCACCGCGTCATGGTGCACGCCTCCAACGCCACTCTGCACGCGGCGGCCAAGGCGGAGCACGTGGCGCTGTTCGCTGGGCTGGTGGCAGCGCCGCCCGGCTTCAAGCTTGAGGGCGAGGACGAGTTCATGTTCGCCTTCCACGCCGCCGTCGACCCGCAGAACCACACGCTGCTGGCCTTCGCGCACAAGGAGTGGCCCGCGCTCCTCCAGCAGTACCTCACCTTCCTCCCGTCGGGCCGCTCGCGCACCATCACGCTCAAGTTCGTGGCTTACACGGTGATGTCGCTGTGGCAGACGCTCACCTTCGTCCCAGACACCGAAGGTGCGTGCGCACCTTCTGCGGCGAGAGAAGTCGCCCACACCTCACCAGTTCTGTGATCTGTGCCTGTGCTTGTAGGCGTGCTGCAGTACGGCAAGCGCAACCGCGAGACAGGCTCTTCCGCGCGGTTCGAGAGGATCAAGGCGTGGCTGCTCGACGCCGACGCGTGCCCGACCAAGTGGGAGCCGCTGCTCCGCATCCGCGAGGCAGCGGCCTAGGCGGCTGTGCCAGCAGCCTTGCGCCAGGGCGCTGCCAGCGCGACTCATCGCGATCTGGGGCCGCTCAGGAGGCGCCGCCCCGGTGCGAGGCTTCCTCACGAGAGACTAGGCCTCTAGGAGCGAGAGGCAGCTACGAGCTGAGCCTTTCCGCCAGTGGTGCATTGCGCACACCCGCGGATCTCGCGCCCAGTCTCTCTAGTTTCTCCCACTCTCTCTGCATGTCATGTCCCTCGCGCGCTATGAATGAGTGAGTGTGTGTGTGTGTGCACCGCTTGCGCGGCGCGGCGTACGCTCTCGCCTCATTTATCGAAGCATGTGGGACGAAATAAAATGTTTGCTGCCTGTGGGGCTGGGGGGACCGTCGTGCTAGCCGCACGGGCGTGCCCCCCCGTGTGTGATTTCACAGCGCGACCATGAAATCATATGCTGTGAAATCAGGCGTGTGATTTTCATGAGAGAGGAGTTGTGATCTCACGGTTCCATGATATCATGGCCAAAATCCATGATATCATGGAAGGGGGGAAATTCAGATGGACTCTAGGAGCCCGAACCCGGAGGCGATGCATGGTTTGCCATATTCTCACACAGAACAAAACGCAAACGGAGAATCTGGATAGATATGGAGACTCTCTCAAGACAGATGGGGTGCGCCGGAGGCGGAGCGCCACACACCACCCGGGGCCGGCTCCACGGTCGCCCTCCCAAAGCAAGCGAGACGCAAGTCGCAAGAGAAGCGGCGGAGACGCCGAGCTCATGGCGATGCCACCGCCACGCACCCTCGGTCGTCGGGAGGAGGGGAGCCCGAGCAGCAGTGTGTACTGAGCAGTGTGTACACCACGCGCGTCTCTAGTAGCCGAACTTGGCGAGCTTGGCGTCGAACTGATCGGCGACGGCCGCCTTGGCCGCCTTGGCCTTGCCAAGCTGCGCCTGCGGGAGGGCGGGAGGGTTGGGAGAGTTGGGAGTGCCAACCCCTAGCCCAAAGCGAGGACGGAGGATGGAGGCCTCCCCCCAAAAGCGAGGCGGAGGACAGCAGTGCCCCCCCCCCCCCCTCCCCTCCGAAGGGGGGGGGGGCGGAAGAGGGGGCGGGAAGAGAGGGGGCGGGAGGGTTCTGCGCGCCTTCTTCTCCTCCCAGTACACTGCCGACCGCTCCTTCCTCTTGGCCTCGAGGCGCTCGACCGCCTCCTTGTGCTTCCACCCAATCTCGAGCGAGATGCGCCCCAGCACGCAGTAGCGCCGGCCCGGCTTTAGCCGGGTCACGCGGAAGGCGTCAGGCACGACCATGCGCTTCGACTTTTCGTACTGCTCCGGGATGCCGTCGAACGCCTTGAGGCGCTCCATCGCGCACTTGCCGCGGTGCGTCTTGTGCGGGATCATCCCGCGAATCACGCGGTGAAAGATCCGGCTCGGCGCGCGGAAGTGGTAAGGCCCGTGCGCCGGGTTGGTGTTGGTGCGCTTGCGCAGTTTGTCGAGGAACTTGAGCTTGTTGCGGTAGAAGGAGCCGGAGATGTTGATGTCCTCGCAGCGCACGCACACGACGCGCTGGCCGTTCAGCAGCTCCTTGGCGACGATCGACGCCAGCCGGCCGAGCAGATGGTTCTTGCAGTCGATCACGACCACCTTCTCAAACATCGTGCAGCCGCCGCCTGGGCGGGGCGGGGACGCACGCGGTGAAGGGACGGCGGCGTCGGGGTCGGCGGCCTCGGCGGTGCGGCGCGGCGGCGCAGCGAGGGGAGAGGGCGTGCTGCACGCACTCTGGGGAAAGACCACGCTCCCGCCGCGTATTTCTTTTGAGCTTAGCCTTCGATGGATGAAAACAACGCAAGGCGGACATGGCATATCGCTCTCGGGCCCACAGACATCCCGCACACTCGCCGCACACCCGCCGCCCCCGCGCGCGCCCCACCCCGGCCGGGAGAGAGGGGAGTGACAGTTTGGGACGGCAACAGCCCGAGTATGTTGAGTCCTGGCTCAACAACGCAGATAACAAGAGGGGGTGGTCCGGCTCCCAAGTCCGGCTCACGCGCCTCGAGCTGACCGATCTACCGCACTGGTCACTTCCGCCCCCTCGCTCCCAACCCATCCACCCCGCCCCGGGCCGCGCCGCGCGATCTCGGGCGATCTCGCGCTATCTCGGGCGATCTCGGGGCCGCGCCGCGCTATCTCGGGCGATCTCGGAGCGTCGCTCGCGCGGCGTCACACCTGCTCAAAAAGGAAGGAGGTTGGAGGCAGGAGGTCACGCCCCATCCAGAGCGCCGTCGTCGCCGGGTTTTCCCTTTTTTTCGGGATTATTCCCGCGAGGTTTGAGTGTTTGAGTGTTAGAGTTGTTTGGTATTGCTAAAAAATCTCTCTCGAGGTTGCGGGCTCGGCCTATCTTTGCCTGCTTCGCTGCGGCCTCTGCTTCAGCGCCACAACTGCCACCACACGCCGGCAGCAGCCACACAAACGACGCTCATACCATCGCCACACCACCAGTCATTACATTCGCCACGACGACGCCCGCGGGTGCGCCTCGCCGCGGGACATGTGCCCGCCACGCCGCTGGCTGAAGAGCGGACGGTACCCGGCCCGTGCCAGGTCGACGGGCCTGGGGACGCCGCTGTGGTATACGAACGCCGCCTGCTGCTCGTCGGAGCGGGCGGTGGCCTCGGCGCGCGCGGCGAGCTCGGCCTCGACGGAGGCCTGCTCCACGAGCATCTGCTGCCACTCGCGGGGATTCCAGCCGGTGCGCCGCGGGGCGGTGCTCGCGTCCGCGGCGGCCGCCAGCGGCACGGCCGTGAGCGACCCCGACGCCCCGTTGAGCGGCTCGCGGCACATCGGGCAGGTTGCCTCGGGCTGCGACTGCTCGATCCAGTCCTCGATGCAGCAGCGGCAGAAGACGTGCAGGCATGCGGTGGCGACCGGGGCAGAGTCGGCCTTGATCGGTTCGATGCAGATGGGGCAAGTGAGGGCCAGCTCGTCGGCGGCGGCGGCGGGGGCGACGGCCTGAGCCGCGAGCTCGCGCGCGCGGCAGAGGGCGGCCTCCTCCTCGGTGGCGAAGCAGCCGAGGTTGATCTCGAGTCCGTCGAGGCAATAAGAGGCGCGGAAGGGCAGCGGCGCTCGCGTGCCCGCGCGCCCCACGCCCAGGAAGCGCGTGGTCTCCCCCCGCCGCCGCCCCCGCCCCGAGGAGCCCGACGCGGGCAGCACCAGCTCCTCCGCCGCCGCCGCCGCCAGCGCAGCTTCCGCTGTCATCGGCGGCGGAGCCTGCGCCTCGGCGACCTTGGCCTCCGCCGCCGCCCGGCCCTCGGGCGAGCGGGCGTAGCAGAGCGCGGCCGCCTCAGCCGACCTGAAGTAGCCGAGGTTGATGGTTTTGCGGCCGCGCACCACCCGTGTCATGAAAGGCAGCTTGCAGCCCTGTGGCGATTGGAAGACGCCCACAAAGCCCGAGCCGTTCGTCTGCAGCTCCAGCCTCTCCTCGACGGCCGTCGCTATGGCCTGGGCGCTCGTCATGTCCTGCTCCTGCCGCAGCGCCTCCGCCTTGGCGAGCTTGGCCGCATCCTCCCGCCCCTCGGGCGTGAGCGCATAGCAGATCGCGGCGTCCTCCAGCGTCGCAAACCGGTCGATGATAGTCATGACGCCTTTGCGGGAGACCTTGACAACGTAGCGCCGCGTAGGGTCCTTGCCGGGTGCGTCGTAGACGCACTTGTAGCGGGTCCCGTTGTCGGACGGGATGAGTTTGACGGAGGCGGGCTGTGCCTTCTGGATGAGCATCGCTTGTCACGCGTGTAGCAGTTCCCGCCCTCGCCTTGCCACAAAATCTCCCGTATCTCCCCTCACGGATGTGTGTGTGTGTGTGTGTGTGTGTGTACACTACACACACACACACACACCCTCACGGATGTAGCAGTTCCCGCCCAAAGCACAGCGGACCTTCATTTCTTTTGCGTGGGTCTTTCTTGGCTTCGCCTGCGCCGCGATGAGCATCTTCGCCTCCGCCTTCTCGCCGGAAGGCACTCACCTCCTCGCTGCCACCGGCGACGGCGACCTGCACATCTGGCGCCTCGCCGCCGGTGCGCCGGAGCGGGCGCCGCCACCAGCGGCGACGCACCGTCTGCACAGCTGCGCCATCTACAGCCTCACTTTCGTGCCGACGGCGCGCGGGCTCCTTCTGCTCAGCGGATCCGACGAGGACGTCCGCGGCTGGCGCTGGGAGGAGCTTCTTGGCGGCGCGACGCCCCGCCCGCTCCTGACGCTGCAGAACCCGCGCCTCTCGCTGCGGCGCGGCGGCCTCGGCCCGCTCTCCGAGACGACGGCGCTGGCGCACGACGCGGCGAGTGGCGCCGTCTACTCCGCCGCGGGCGACGGCAACGCCTACGCCTGGGACCTCGAGGCGGAGCGCGTCGTCGCGACCTTCAGCGGTCATGAAAACATGCTGCACGGGATCGGCCTGCGGACAGAGCGGCGGCAGCTGGTCTGCAGCCCGCCCGCCTGGAGCATGTTTTCATGACCGCTGAAGGTCGCGACGCCGTCTCGCGGTCAGGGTCTCGCTGGCGTGTTTCCTCCCCGCGCGCGGGGTAAAGAGCC